ATTTAGGCTAAAGATCGCGCACCATCTTTCCTTACTTCTTCCTGTCGTAACTTCTCCCCTTACAAACACAGTTATATTCACTACTCTAATACACATGTCGAAAGACTTGGCTTAGAGCTCTTTCCGTCAGGGATGATGCTTCGCTGGGAGGAGGTACTAATCTTCTCACTGCTAATCTTCTCACTGCTAAGGTTGTGATACTTTGTTTGCGTGGGTCGTGAGTGATTGTGCGACAAAATTATTTAACAAAAATCTATCGATTTTCAACACGTTTCTCTTACACGAATCGTGCCTCACACATCTGAAGTACAAACTCTTTGGGAGCTTCTCAGGTAAAGGGTCGTATGAAAACATTGTCTTGCATGAAAACATTTCCGCCTACTCTTCCCAATTTTTCGGCACTGAATACTACATTAGTTATGAAAATTTCATAATTTTGTTTATAATTTATAATTCCATTCTTGAACTCTGAAGACCCTGCCCCATCTGCACTCCAGCAGCCCCAAACCACGCCACTATTATCACTATGCGTGAACTACATAAATTTTCCAATTGAAAATTTTCAATTAATTTTATCTACCTACATTAAAAAATTCAAATCCACTAATTCCATGTATTTAATCCCAACTTGCCTTCACGAATATTTCCGGAACTGAAAAACCTTTCGCGGAACAGTAGGATATTGTTTCTACTAACGTAATGTGAATTTCATAAATATTTATTTGAAAGAATATCAATTTCAAGTTAAGTACCAAGCTTTGAGACACTGGAGACTTTTAAAAACATTAACAAAATAGTACCACCCTATTATTATTCCTCTATTATTATTATTATTATTATTATTATTATTATTATTATTATTATTTTGTAATAAGTTAAAGAAACTATTTAAAATAAATGAACTTTATTTTTAATTTTCAATTTTTTGTAAGCTAAGCTTTTAAATCCTTAACAAAAAGTTACAAACGCGTGAGGCTAGTGGCGTATGCTACATGTATCCCTTCGCCATTTAACACTGAGCAGTCGTGGCGTCGACATCGCTCTCTCCACTAGTCTCGTCAGTTACTTATCGAATATCAAATTATACACGTCAGTGGAATAGTGAAGAGAACTACAAACTAGTGTTTTAAGGTGCACCATAATTCATCAGACGCATTGATAGGTACAGATAAGGGTGAGCTCCCCTCCCCCCACGTCAGCTAGCTGTGACCTCGGTCACCAACCTTGTAGAAGCCATGGCGCCACTATATAATAGCAGCGATGGACACTGCCACCAACTCATGGAAAAACCACAACCTCAGCATCAATTCGGCGACCAGATGAGCAGCCAAAATTACACAGTTCATCTTTATAAACATTCAAACCCTGCAGTTTCTAATTGTCCAGCGTATCAAGCAAAGTGCACATAACAACTTGCATCAAATGAGAGCGTAGGCTTATTAGCAAGCTTCAGCTCGAGGAGACCGGAAACGTTTATGTGTATTTCAACCACCGAAGTACACGGTCAAGACTCCAAAAAGGTCAGTAACGCTGATGCGGCCAACGGTTCCACTCACGGCTTAGCAATTGCACTTGACTGAAACAGAGAAAAAGCCGTTAATAGTGGAAAACAAGGACATGGTCTCAATGTTTCTCCTACATCTCAGCAAACTAGTGGTTCTACACAGTACATACTTTCTCGCAATATTACCATGTTATCGTTATGTACGAAGGGACGTCCATGTATATTTCATTAATTTTAAATAGACATTACGCGAAAACTACTAACTTTTATTTAAAAAATTGGACGTGACTGTTTTAAAGAGCTAATTGTACAACAGACATTGTCTGAGGTAAAAATCTATATCTTTAATTTTGTAGGTTTTTTCTGCTATTTTCGAAAAAAACGACCAATATCCTAATATGAGAATAGGACCATTACACATAATGAGAAAATTTGCAGAAAAAATTTGGAGCGGTTTTTGAGAATAAAATTGCGTATATTTCAAGCCCAAATTACGCAAAATCTACTTGTTTTTTTTAAATGTACTTCGTATTTTTTAAAGAGCTAATTTTTACAAACAATTTCTTCGGAAGCGAAAATTTCTCTTCAATTTTGTAGTTTTAAATTTTTGTTTTGTTGCTATTTTCGAAAAATCAGGTATTTTAACAAAAATGAGATTTGTGCCATTCTCTTAAACGTCCTTCGCACAATACAATAACAAAAGTTAATAAAATAATTTGAGACCATTTTTGGAACATTTTGAAAAGGTCCGAGGGATTTCATGTATAGTTCCCCCCAAAATTAAAATATCGGTTTGATATCCCTGTGGCCAGAACAACAAACTGAACGATTGGGGAATATCAATTTTGGAGATAATCGGCTGAACGGTTTATGCCTTAGCGTTGTGGACAGACAGACAAACGAGCGGATTGACAGACGTTTTCCGATCAATAAATTTTTCAGTATGAAACGCACAAAACATGAATTCTGGTTACACCTGAGAATTTTTCTATTTTTAGCAATTGGGTTTATCAACTTTTTCGTTACCAGTGACCGGCAATAAGATTTTTTGCGTCGAAAATACGCTGTTTTCCGACGCACGATTACGATACCTTTTCTTTAGTAAGTGCGAGAAAGTAAAAACAAAACAATCAGACAGTGCACACTACATACTCGCAGTGCCGGTTGGTAATGCCATTTGATTAAGTTTTTGTTTCCGGGCGCGTCAACTGCTATGGTCATGAGTCCCGTAAGCGTAGAGCATTTTGTCGAAGGAAGCGGAGGTATTTTGCCGCTTATATGTAAGATCTGGCACAGACCTCAACTCGACTTGTGCAAGTTTCACCATCCAGGAATCACGACTTGCGAGGCACAACTCCCGCCGAGACAAGCTCTAAGGTACCGACTAACCTCCTGTCATTGTGTAATTGTATAGTGCATGTCAGAGAAAGAGTAAATGAGGGGTGAGGATAGGACGAGGAAGTGCGTGGTCGGTGACCCGTTCGTTCGGGTACTTTTCCGGCATTCGCCTGCTATCAATCGGAAAAGTACCGATTTCAGTAGCCGGCCGCTAGAATTATCCTCCAGTCTGTGGCTGACTTCGCCTCGGCTGTGTAGTTAGTATCGAAAAATCCAGCCACCCCTGGCCTCGTGCCCTATATACTCTTCGTATCAAATATGCTCCTCAAATATGCTGTCAGCTATAATCTTATTATTTCCGCCCCCCTGGAACTCAAGCATTATTGCGATAATTACGGAATATTGCGGTATTTGCGTACAATTATCACAAAATGCCGGATATCCTAGATATTTCAGTATGTAAAAATTTAATCAAATCGTATTCACTTTCTCGTATATGTATGTTTGGAAGTAGTATACGTAGTATAGAGAAAGTTATGGAATACGGCAGAAAATATATTTCGAGATTTCAACGAAAATATATCTTTTAAATCTTTAAAATCACCCTGATAATAAAAGAGTGTTTTTTAAGTCCTTCCGTCTGTATGCCTGGTTGTCCATCTGTCCATCTGTTTTTCCACCCGTCTGTCTGTCTCTGCCCGCCTTCTCTTCAGGCTGTCTGTGTCCGTCCGTCCGTCTGTCTTTCTGATCGTCTTGCCAGTCCGTCTGTCTGTTTGACCGTCTGCATTCCGTCTGTCTGTAGGTATATTTGTGTATATGTCAGAATGTCACCAGTATGTTAGTCCATTTTTTTTGCCTATCAGTGTGTTGTCAGTCTGTCTGTGGGGTCCGTCTGTTCGTCCTCCGACGCGCAATATATGGAAAAATAGAAAGGGTTGGAGCAAAACGAAAAGCTAGCATAGACAAAAGAGATTAGAAAACTAAACTACAGAAAGTCAGTGGCATTCTGTGGCGCTTCTAGTCTTTATGAATAAATCCCGACCACTGCGAGTCGTACTTCTCTCTTGCGATGATAATTATATAGTGTCTATCCCCAACCCTTGTGTCCACAAAATTTTAATTGTAAATTATTCGAAGAGTTTCTTAATACATCTACTTTTGCACCTTTTTTAAAAATCTCGGAGAAAATTGTTATGCTCATTCTTTTCTTGGCTACTTCATTGCAATTGCAAATTAATGCGATTAATCCTTATTGCAACCTCTAGAGTCGCGGCCCCACCAAGGGCCCCTTTCGTGAACATTCTGAATCTTAATTCGACAAAGAGAAATATAAGACGGCAATGGCCAATCATCGTTACATCATTTAAAAAAACAGCTCTAAACGAGGCAACGTCATAAAAGTTCACGTGAAGTTAGTAATGTTCGTATTCATGAACAAAAATTAGACTCTGACAGACTTGAAGCTTGTAAGTAGTCTACACTGCTGTTTGTGAAAAATTGCAACACCCGGAATTAATGGTCGGAATCACTTAAAAATTTAGCAGATGTGTAGAATAACGTGTTCCATACGACCATCGTGACGAATAATCGAACATGCCTGCCATCTGTCCGGCAACTTGTTTGTGCTGCGTCCTCTCTGCAGCCACTGTCGATGCTTTCTTGGCCACGTCTAGAATAGTCGTGGCAAGTATTCTTCCCCAGCAGCATATCCAGGCTCTGCTTTGAATCCGTCACGACGTTCTAGAGGCATGTTGATGGCCAGCACATGGTAGCCTCAATCGCTAAGATACGCAAGGTCAAAATGCAGGTACAGTTCTAAACATTTGTATATTGTCGATATTCCTAATCTCTGGAATAAATTTCATCTGTAACATGTCTCTTTCTTGGTGTGCAATTTTCACAAACACCTATGTATTCGTATTGTGTAAACTTTGAGACCAAAATATTTCCGAGAATGGCTGTTATTATGGATTCAGTCATTTTTATAGAGGATATTGAAGATATTCTTGGAAGTTCTTGATGACGCTGTTGCCGCAATTACGATATATTATCCGTGGTACATTAAATTCACAAAATACATACAAATCATGAATATTTACTGCTTACAAAACATGTATGCATTCATACCTTGTTAATGGCAGATTTGATATTTCTTCAGGATTTATGATTGCTTCGTCTATTTCAGTGTTGTTAGACGCTCTAAAATGATAACGGTGTCAAAAAAGTCATTTGTTGGCAAAGAAGGTTTGGTAGCAACAGAAAGCCAGTAAAAAGTTTTACTTTTGCTGTCAACAGGCCTTAAAAACTATTGCAACTTCGTACGTTTGTTTCTGAACACGCCAAACAACATAACGAAATGTCACATAGGTTGTCAATTACTTTCTATATTCTAATTTAATCATTCACTAGGAAAATTACTTTTCTGACGCATTGAACGTCGTTAAGTTTCGTGCATGATGGCCATTATTATTGCGTAACTTCACTTCATTAATGCCGCCCATACTCGAAATTATAGTTGTTCCTTGGAGGATTTCAGGCTAGACAATCATTTTTTTTGCATAAATATCAAAAGTATCCACCTAAAAATTGGCAATATAGATGTCTTCTTAAAAATATGCCCTATGCACTGGAATTTTACTTCTGAAATTCTTGCAAATGTGCAGCTATAACGAAATATGTCAGTCAGCTTTTTTATTTTCATTTAAACCGGTTTGTAATCAGAAGCCGAGCTCAATCTGCTAATCTGCTTCTCGCTAGACACTTTGTAACGAATGAATCCCACAACTGCCCCGCGAAACATTGACACAATTATGAAAATGAAAACAAATTTTGATGTTATAATGTTAAAATTAGATCGCGGAACTTTAAGCAATTGCATATTTTTACTCACTGTGCATATCGAAAGGAATTGTGTATAACTTTACTTATCACCAAATATTAAACGAAGTAGCCCATTTTTATTTTGCATAATTGCATATTTTAGAGATTTTTATTTTTTAACTGCATATTTTATTTATGCGGCATATTTAAGGACACATATTCCAGGTTTTTGTGCAGAAGTGAGTTGAAGTAAGATATTTTATGTATGTATTTTCCTTCAAAAGAAAAGTGAATTTAGACCTGCCAATGCTACATCATTGGGCATTGTTATCAAGTAATTGTTGCATTCCAAACTGGATTTATCCGCATTTTCGTTACCAGGTCCCTGTAGGAAGAGTTTTTCCGAAAATTCGCCGTTGGTTGCGCAGCATTACATAACTTTCTCTTCTTAAGAAGTGTCTCCTTAAGGGCGAGAAAGTAAACACCGAGCGCAATCCTCAGCTGAATAATACAGAGAGAGATTGCAAGCTGTATTGTTCGAACACGTAATCCATCTCTTGAAGCTCTTTTCTCCAAATGAAGCGTGAGAAAGTTAAAAAATCTACATTTCAGTTTTTGAAAATTTGAAAGTTTTAATGAAAAGGACACTTGCCCCAAACAATAGTGTTTTGCTTTATGCTTTCAAAAGTTGTAAACAAAAACTTTGAAGAGGTTTTTTTGAGTAAATCTTGTGTTGTTATTTTTCAAATATTCTTATGATATAACTCATAATTACACAAACACCACTAATATTTCACAAAAAAACTATACAATAAATGATTTATAGATCTAACGTCAAAGAACAGATTGAAGTAAGAAACTTCTGTAACTTCATCGTTTAAGGTGTAGGTCAGATTCGATAAAAAGTTGAAAAAAGGATTTTTTCAATAAAAAAATAATAATGGAAGTGATATCTGTAGTTTTTCCACGTAAGTGCACTTGTCTCTATTCGAAAAATTTGGAACAGTTTTTGATATAATTTTTAAAATGTCCCAGGGCTTTTATGTAAAAAAGACTTGTATCAAAAGCGCACGGCCAGATCAAAGGAGCGATATCCATTTTCAAGAAAACCTTTCTATGGCTTCTGCATTTGTGTTGTTCACAGATTGACAATTGGATAAGTGATCAAATATTTGTGAAAAATAGCAACCCTTTTTGGTACCAGAGACCTTAAAAAGTGAATTTTGTTAAAATTTCGACGACGATTTTTTCTATTGTTTTATACCTTTCTCTGTACTCAGAGTACTGTAGTATTCGACGATAAAAACCTAATCAGAATAGCGTTTATATCTTAGTGCGCTTCGATTCCACGTGACAAGAGCTTCTATACGTGCCATTTTTGTGGGAATACCATACGGTATTTACCTATTTCCCTGGTTCAGACAAATTGAACTGCTTTTTCCTTTCACCTGCCTGGTGATAACTGGTTATCCAAATGCGATAAGTGGGTACTTGTTCAAAGTTACTAGTTAACAGGTACAATTTACACTGATGCACTCCACCCGATATTCTTCCAAAATCTCATTGAATAAGTCATTTTCTATCAGTGAATAATATTAAAATTGAGTTTGCAAAATAACCTTCTAAAAATGTCCGTTACAAGCCAAGTTGTTCGGACTCCGGTGACACACCTTTAGACATTGACCTTGACTGTCCTTGATTAGCAATCCACATCCTTGCGGCACACGTTCGAACAGAGAGGCGGGGCAGCCAGTTAACCGGTTGAATATGCACAAAAGAACACACCTGTGAAAGCAGATGCCTTCAGTAACAAGTGGCTTTTCAAATGATCAAAAGCAACACCATCACAGACTTTAAAACGAATTTCTTTTTAAGAAAACATTTACTTAGCGGAGACCCACCTCCTTCACACTTGTTGAGCATGAACAATTGCTCTGAACTTAGAAGCCACGTGATTTGCGCTTATAAAACTCCTACAGAGCAGAGGACGGGCATTCGTATGAGAATGGCCACCGGCAGGCTGTTACTGGTGCTGTTAGGTAAGACAATTGTTTTGCTTACATTTTAGTACTGTATCTATTTATATTTTTTATCCGAAGAAACATCATGAGAGAGGTCATTCTTGTATCAGAGAAAAAGCATTTTGGAAATGAAAGTGAGAGTTGTCTATATTTGTAGACTGAATTTTTTGTTTTAAAAGTAAACATTCTAATTTTAGTAGTAACAATGAAAGAATTCGTTAGATTTTACGTTTGACTGAACTTGTGTTAATTAGCCGTATTTAGATTTTAGTGACTTATTGTGACAGTTTTACACGCATATAATCCATATGTAGTATTTGAGAAACGTCGTGCGTGCGTGCGTGCATGTGTGTGTGTGCGTGCATGTGTGTGAGCGTGTTTGTGTGCATATGTATGTGTGTGTGCCTGCGTGAGGTTTGTCACTCACAGTTAAACCACTTCCCGTGAACCTATAGAGTCATGTGAGGTGCCATTCGACGCATTTCGGTCTCCTGCTGGGGAACTATTAATTTGTTTTCGGATCCGACCAAAAGATTCAAAGATATTTTCAAAAACTTTTTTTTGCATGTTTTGGCGTGGCGATCATTGTGAGTATGTCAGGAAGTAAATCAACACCACCTAAATAGGTCTCTGTAAGTAGCGTTTATTAAACTCCGGTACCCAAAGGCATTTTCGCTCCATATGTCATAATTTTCTTTCACGACGTTGGCAACACCGGTGCATCTTTAAGTGAACAAGCAAATTGCCAAGTGATTCGCGCAGCAGATTTCATTTTAATTTTCATCCGTATTACTGTATTTTCAAAAATAAATTTACAAAAACCCGTGAACAGGATTTCTTTGAACTTATTAATTTTGGAGAATTTCAAGTATATACGGAGCAAACAAAACCTTGAGTAATGCAAGAGAATAAATGAATATTCTTCGTTCGCCTCACTTTTACGTTCTTAAGTGTGCAAATACCGGTTTTCAAATGAATGAGACTCACAACTTATTCTTATTAATCTTAACTAACACCTTATTCACATAAAGATACAGAGCAGTCGCATTTTAATGTTTATTTAGATTCGCATACAAAACTATTAATAGAGCAATTGCACATGTAGAAGTGAACACAAATTAGATTTAATTTGTGGAGTTTTAATTTCTTTAAAAAGTAGGGGGAGAAAAACACGGAAGTGTTTTTTACAAGGGATGAATCGAATGAAGTTGTAGAAGATTTTGCGACATAATTTTCGGAACTAATTGTGGATGATCTTATATCAGGGTTAGAAAATAACGCAGAAACCAGGTTACAGGCGATCTTTTATGTGCATTTTTGTGCATATTAGCAAAAAAAGTGCAAAAAATGTAGCTGTGCGAAATTTTATTAGCATCATCAATACCTGCAAGCATTTTACGGCGATTATTATAGAATTGCAATATTACCTGTAGATATCCCGAATGGGGGTACCATACAAAGCCATTGGGTATTGGGGAATTTTTGATCGGGAGTATAACATTATCTTCTACTACGATTGATTGGTAAGTCTAATGCCGAATACTGTGAGATCATATTTGAACAAAGCTAGGCATGAAAGAAATTATATTTGAAAAAAATTATCAACTCATGAATATACTTTTAAAACAGTTTACAGCGCCTGCAGCGCCTCATTCAACTAGTTTGTAATAATAATGTTAATAAAATAATGCAACAACAATTAATGCGGTATGCAAATGTTTACTGCATTCAAATACAAAATGCATATACTTTGTTCAAATAACCTAGTTTTTATATGTCTGTGCAGATAGTCAGCCTTAAGAGTCATTAACACAAAAAAACAAAATGTGAAAATGACCAAAACAAATATTTTCTAAAGCATCTCTTCAAGAATTTGAGACAGCTCTAATACAAACCTCTATATTCAGTAATAACGTAGGGTTTTTATTTTCAGCGCTGGTTGGGGTTGCGAAAGCTTCAGATTCCTCTTGGACAACAACCTACAATGACGATGGGACGGTGTTCATCTCATCGTCTAGAGGTAAGTGGATCAGTTCAAACACACTGACTTATCATACACACTAATAGTATCGCACTTTAACATCGCTTCTTGCAATTACACCTATGCGTTTCTGGTGAGAGATGATTTACAAAGGAGAGAAGATCGTCCAATCATAGAATTCGAGTTTTAAAAACGCTCTGGTAAGATGCAGGATGTCGCGGATCCAAAGGTCAGGAATTATGATCCCTCTCACTTCAAGCAATTTGTAGGGGGAAAAGCGAAGTATTTTGTCAAAAATCGGAAAAATATACATGAAAGGAAAAGGTGATTGCATCAAGTGTAATACATCAAAAGTGTTACTGTATGTACTTTCTCCGTATTAGAAGAAATTACTCTTATTCATAGAAAACGATCTTATGTTAAGTCTATGTCAAATGATCGATTGCAGGACAAATAGCCAAGTGGATGTAAAGTCTAACTGCGAATTTCTGTTTTCCGTAATGCTACGTATTACGTTACCAGTTCGATTCTGTACAGTGCGGTAAATAGTAAATTTTTGTTGACAACGAATTTTGTGGAAGAAAATATTTGCGAAACCTTGAAATTAAAAATTGGCTGAAATGAATAAATGAAAAGACTTTCTTGAATGTTTAGGATGTCTACATCTATGGAAGGAATAAAATTCGCTAGTTAAAATACAAAGTATCACATACCAATGAAAAAGGTCTGAGATCCCCAACTGGGGATCATGGCAGTTAATGTATGCACTGAATGAGGATTGAAAGACCTGAATCATCTTGGTGAAAGTAACAAGAAGCATGAGCAATCACAAGAATGAATGCTTAGACTATAGTCTGTAGTGCTTCGATGTATCAATATAAACAAAAAAGAGAGCCATTCCCACCAATCGATTGCCCAATGAGTACTGGAATTATAAATAAGATTCTAATTAGAATGACTGCATCCGGTTTCGAAGAATGGCGGGACTGAATCATCTGATAATCCAGGAGTATTTCTCGGGCTCCTGAGGTTTGCAGGTTCTGTAAATACTACAGTAAAAGAACACAACGTTAAAATATGATTTTAATTTTTTTTCGGAAGTTAATGGGCTTAACCATTCATCTCATTTCTTCGCCTAATATACATCATTGCTTCAGATATATCCTTAAAAGTTTTTTGAACGTGAAGTCGTGGGAACGACTATGCACGATTCCCTTCTGATGTTGTTAACGCAATTACCTTCATTTCATCATTCTCCATCGTCATTTCACATCAAATTATCATTACCTTCATTACGCTTCTGCTAAACTGAATGCGAAATGTGTGCCAGTTAATTATGGTTTGTGGAACAGAATCCAGTGCAACACAGTGATACAAAGTTAATAAGATGTTGTCGAGCAGAATGAATTGCAACGCCATTAACAAACTGGAAATTGGGAAAAGTGTCTCACACAATGTAGAACTGTATGAATCGTATGTTGTTATTTTTTAATGTCAAAGATGATTTATTTGATTCTTAGTTTTTCATTTGATTTTCTGAACCTAATAGGTAAAAGGTATGTCTCTATTTTGATTAATAGTGTGTTGCAAAGTCTTGAATTTGTGTAATATAATTATAAATAAAATAAAGGAAAAAGTGTTTTGTATTAAAAGATATTCTGAATTAAATTTCGGCCAATTAATATCCTTGCATTAAAAATACTAAAACAAAACTTAAATTGTGCATTTTTCTTGCAAGATTTGAACTTCTTAAAGTAGAATTAATTCCTCAGAATAAAGAAACCTCGCAAATGTTTAAAGTTATCTCCAGGCACAGAATTGGACAATTTGTTTTATAAGCTCTATTTAAGGGTGTTTTAATTCTCCGATATTATATTTTAAAGAATCAAGGAAATTATATTTATGAAAAACTATCTAATCGTAATTCAAAGTGTTCGAGCTTTAGCGAGACCTTGCAATGTTGACTAGAGAAAAAACTAGAGTGTGCAACTAATAACTTCTATCCCTACAGTATTTGAGTAACAGCGAGTAACTGTTCGTGCGTCCATCGCTCACAGTTAGACCACTTCCCGTGCATCAATCAAGACATATGAGGCGTCATTAGATGCGTCTCGATCTCTTGATGGAGAACTTTATTTCGTATCCGGCCAGAAGATTCTAAGAAATTTAAAAAAAAATGATTGTGCTTGTTTTTGTCTTAGTGGATGAACCGAAAATTAAACCAACGCCACCTAATTAGATTTTCGTGTATTGTGCATCCAAATATTTGATTGCAGTACGGAACCTTGTAGACTATTATCCTTTCTTTCTTTCCAATACAATTGTACATAAGGCTCTCTTTTTATGCCTCAAGTTTTATTGCCAATTCTTGAAGAAACTCGGATCTATTCGGTGACTTAGTATTGAAGAAATTCCGCGAGGGGGAATTTGTGTAGGGGGCTCAATGAACCCCTATAAAATTACGTGAGAACACAAATATTTCACCTAATTGGCGTGTTAATAATATTTTGTGGTCCTTGGAGGGGTTTTGGTTTCCTTGAAGGGAAAACTTCATGAAATGTTCTGCTGACTGCGATATGCGCAACGACATGCTGCCGCACAGCAAGTCGTGAAATTAACACTGAAATTTCGATTTACACCGAACATTCGTTTTTTGTAAATAAAATATACAAATACAAACAAACAAACAAAACAATAAGTAACTAAATAAATATATATGTCTGAATGTTTGGAATAAACCAGCGGGCATTTAAAATTTTTCTTAAAATATATATTTTAAATGACTGTAATTTTTTGTAGATTCCCAGGAGTTTAGCGACCTCAAACTGGACAGGTAGAATTAAAGATTAAAAGAATAATCAGTCGGCTTGCAACTTTCAATGAAGAGGGTTCATTAATTCCTGAAAAAGTAACACTGTCCTTTTAAAGCAAACCCATATGTTTATTTGTCGACTGTACGAAGCCGCTATTTACTAGAGCTCTGCTTCTGTGCTCTCGTCGAAAGTGAACGAAAGACGTTTTGGCATTCAATGGGTCGAATAGGTGGATCAAATTAGCCATCCAGTAAATGTAAAAGTGCGTCGTGTTCAACAAATAAGCTTATAATAAATAAACAATTTTTGTTAATGTAATGAATCCAAATTATTGGGAGAGCAAATTTCCAAAAACACCTATTCAACTGCTTAAGTATTTATTCTCCAGCATACTAGTAAATAGAAATTAGAATAATAATACACAATTGAAATAAATACATTGATAAAACAAATATCAATACTATCTAAGTAACAAAGAATAATACATTATTAATAAAAAAGTCAAATTATTTTCAAGAATCAGAAAAAAATGAATTAAAAATGTAAATCATGTGACTTTGTTTAATTTTTTCTAGATTTTTAAGACGTTCGATGTTCAGAACGACTAATCACAAATCAGTTTCAAAACACACATTATATTTTCAACTATTATGGAACATCTCAGTTTTATTTTATAAAAAGGCATACGCATTGTTCACAAAACTGTATGAGCACCCAAAGATACTCGAGCTACAGGCCAGTACAGTATTTGGAAATAGATTCGAGGGGAACTGAAAGTAAGAGATACATCATTAAATTCAACACAAAATTACTGAACGTACCGTTTGTTTTTCATTTTTACGTATCAATATATTCTTAAGACGAATTTCTATCTTGCTGCCAAATAATTTTCTCAAAAATTGTATTTCTCCATACGTGGAAGGAATCGGAAAACCATTGAATCCTTTCTTGAACTATAAAAAGACCGAATACGAATACTTTCCCCTGAGTTTCATGGTGCTTTGACACATTGCAAATAAGCTCATCAATTCAATATTACAAGTACTTTTATTATTTTTATCTTCTTCATGAAAATTATGGGCAATTATTCATTAAGTAATGAGTTGCAAAATATCAGAGGTAGGAAATGTAACATGTTGGAAATAAAATTCAATAAAATTATTTTCACCATAAATACTTTATTTATTAGAAAATTGATTTTCAGCGCATGCAACGTACTGTTTATAATCAGAGCTGTGTCATTGTAAATAATACGTTTTCAAGAGATTTAACAATTAGTAAAACCAGTAGGTACAGTGCATAACCAACACCGTCAATTACAAAATACATATTCTACCGTGCAGTACAAATGAAAACAGATAGCTCTGAAGGTCAACTATTGATGTTGCTCTCGTCGTAGTGTTCATGCCAACGTGACTTTCGATAAAGCAGGACGCTAAACAGCTCGTTCATACATTTCACGTGGCTCATCTCGAAGGGCACCATGATTCCAATGGGCTAATATTCATCCAAAGGGCTAGTTATTATTTCTAATTACGTGATATTTAATTTATATTCCTTTACATTACTCATTGCTTTAAAAGTTATATACGCAACCCAAGGGGCGAGGTGATTCCCACCGTTGTTACGTAAACTACTGTTCTTAATGCCCTTTCAACAGAGTTAAATTCATTTTGCAGGCGGACCAACAGCCGTTGTGACACTCGAGAGAAATGGTGCACGAGTTGCAACAAGTTTCCAAGACTGCGTTGGATCCACTCCAAACAGTGCATGCAAAAAAGGAAATGGAATTATCAGCGAAGTATCTTCAGGCTTTAGCTGCGTTAACAATAAAATTTACACCGAAATACCTGTAGATGGAGATTTCACTTTATCTGTTACTATTAATACAACGGGACATTTGTACGGTGGGCCAGAACAGATCAATCAGTACTGGCCTTTGGATGATGTTCACTTCGATGATTACTCATACGTCACAAAGCAGCAGGACAATCAAGGAATTGCAGATCCCTACTGGTTAAGCTCAGATGGATATTTCATTTTCATAGATCCGAAAACGTCTCTGTTTATAGAACAGAATGTGGAGTACGACCACTACATCAAATTCATAGCCAGAAATTCAGACCCCTACCCTTCCCCTGCCATTCTGTGGCATGAGTTTACTCTTTGCGAGTTCGACGATGCAAAACAGGCGCATATGTACGCGGTGGAAAATTTCCTCGGTAAACCCTCTGACATCCCTGACTTTAGAATGATCGTCCACCCTGTTTGGTCAACTTGGGCTCGGTACAAAGTAAACATCAACGAGGAAGTTGTACAGGAGTTTGCCGATGAGATTATTCGATACGGATTCGATAACAGTCAACTAGAAATTGATGACGACTGGGAAACCTGTTATGGGAGTCTCACTTTCGACAAGACCAAATTCCCCGATATGAAGGGACTTACAGACCGCCTGAAGCAGCAAGGTTACCGTGTGACACTCTGGATCCACCCATTCATTAACCTGGACTGCAATCCATACCATCAAGAGGCACAGGAGAAGGGCTATTTTGTGAAGAACATAGATGGCAACACCACGTCCACCTGGTGGAACGGTGTGGCCAGTGCGATTGATTTTACCAACCCAGAGGCAGTTGACTGGTGGGTGAGCAGACTGAAGGCTATGCAGGAGGAGAATGGAATCGACTCTTTCAAATTCGACGCCGGAGAGACCAGCTGGCTGCCGCAAATACCTGTTTTGACTGGCGATCTGGAGCTTCAACCTAACCTCTACACAGAAAGGTAATTTTATTTTATTTAGCCTTGGCGAGAATTATCCGGCCGTATACTAATTTCACTCTTCACAAGCTTGGGAAATTTTGTTGGGTGCTGTTGTAGGTTTATACCCTATGTAACCATTTGCACCTTCACCCCGCCTATAATAGAAGAACACGACTATCTAAAGTCTGAACGGGATGGTTGAATGGTGAGTGTCAATCCTCAGATTTCCCAAATTTGGCAACTTACTCTAAAATAATTAAAGACGTTGTCATTGCCAACAATATTATTTAATGCAATAGCAGCTTTTGATGGCTTAGCCATCATCATCAGTTGTCTGATACAAGAAGAAAAAACAAAACAAAACATTAACAACAAGATTATGAATAAAGGTTACAAATAAACTTACAATTTTTTGGAAAATATATTTAATATTTTAGAAAACGGGAGAAAGAAAAAGTGGAGGGGGGTTTAAGCCATTAATACTAAAGAAAAGCGAATGAAATAGAAGTAGGACACGTAAAGATTTTTTTATACAGAAAAACATAGAAATGTATATTGAGCCGTTCCTTACCTGCTGGATGGAAGCCGTATACTAATTTCACTCTTCACAAGCTTGGAAATTTTGCTGTGCTTCCATCCAGGCAGTAAGGAACGGCCTCAACTTACATTTCTATGTTTTTCTGTATAAAAAAAATTTTACGTGTCCTACTTCTATTTCATTCGCTTTTCTTTAGTATAATGGGCTTAAACCCCCTCCACTTTTTTTCTTTCTCCCGTTTTCTAAAATGTTAAATATATTTTCCAAAAAAATTGTAAAATTTATTTGTAACCTTTATCATAATCTTGTGTTAATGTTTTGTTTTGTTTTTTCTTCTTGTATCAGACAACTGATGATGATGGCTAAGCCATCGAAAGCTGTATTGCCATATAAATAATACTTGTTGGCAATGACAACGTCTTTAATTATTTTATGAAAAATGCCAAAGATATCACACCACAACACCTATACAACTTACTCTAGCCAATGTTTTGAAATAATAGAATGAAATTTATCTTCTTCTCCTGATCCGCTAACTTCATGTTCTGTGTCCAAATTATTCCAACACTCTCTGAAGTGTCTACCTGATACATGTATAGGTTTATACGTTTCATGTATTGGAATGTTCTTGTTATTAGTACTGCTGATATTTGTAACTCGTATCAACTGTGTAACTGACGATTTTTAGTGACGCGTCATGTGCGGTTATGCAATATCAAATCTTAGTGGCAGGAATATGATTATTTATTGTATTATTGTAGTTATTAAAAATAAATATTTATCTTTCATATTGAAAAATAAATTTCAACGAAATTACTTTGTTTTGACTCAAGGATAAAAGCCTAAATGAAGTCCATAATAATTCACGTCTTTTTCCATCATTTGAGGTAAATTTCCTAGCCTTAAGAAACCTAAGACGCAAAGTATTTATTGATCCAATCCATAAATGTTCAATGATACGGACGATAAGCTGGCCGTGAAATATTACTTATACAATATGAATTAAGAAATAAGCAAGTGTAATTATAAAAGATTCAATATTTATTAAAACATACCAAAGCCAACTTTAGGGAACACCTTTTCCCCAACTTCATTGGTTCTATAACAGAACAAATTGATAATTCGTATTATGGTATACCATAAGACAGATTCTATTGCCATTGAATTTACTACTTATATATGTGAGGGTTCAAAAAAAGGGTTCAAACGCTTATTGCTTAATTAGTACAGAGAGCGAGTCTCGTAGAGGAGTATATGTTTCGAGGGTGATGATAGGAATTGAGTTTGATATTTTCAAATGAGTACGCCAAAGAGACTTTCGATTATTTATTTATTGAATTGATGTACGGTTATATGAATGCTACACGTTTGGGATAATATGTGATACGAGAGTCTTGTTGTTTCATGTCGCCTAGTATTTTATGTCCTGGTTTTTATATACGGCCATGGCTACTTTGCATTTCGCAAAGTCCCGCAAAGCGATGAAACTGGTAGTTACATAACTAACACCCAATATCCAGGCTATGACTTCTTTACGAAACGTGTACAGTTAAGTCTGCATTGCCACACCGTTCACTTAACACAAAGTAGCATATTTCAATCAATAAATTGTGAACACAAGTATTGATTTCCATGCCTGCATGCTGAAAAATAAATAAATCGGCAGGTACGTGAACACAGTAGCCCAGTTCGGCGACATGGTGGAGGTTCGCGTGGGCC